CGTCTGCCTTCTGGAGGGACTGGCTTGCTCCTGTGCTTGCGGAGTTGTGGGGGAGGCTGGAGGAACTGCTGGCAGGTTGTGTTAAAATTTGGACTGCTAGCAAGTTGTGCCTTGGAAGCACATTTTTCAAGCTGCAATGACAGTAGTCCCTTAAAAATTTTAAGTTCTTCGGGTGACAATGTTCTTGTAGGGCCATCCCAAATAGGACAGGCAACAGCAGACTTGAAGCCTCTGCCCCATTTGAGCCAGAGCTGCCAAAAACTCGTCTGTAGTGGAGGAGAAGCTACCATGCTTATCTTTAAATGTGTAAAATCTTAATATTCTGGGTCGGTAACAGAGCTGATGGTATTTTAGGTATATTTTTCTGAGTTTATGTGAAAGAGAATGTACATATTATGACACAGTTTCAGAATTCCCCATGCACTTGGCTCAAGTTGATGTAGTGCTCGCAGTAACCAGTGCCAGAGCATAGCTATCAGTGGCTCTAGAACTGAGGCTGTGATTTTTAGCAAGCGCTTTATCCTTGTAGTGAAAAAATAGCCTTTCAGAAATTAAACCAGCCTGAGTAGAGGAGTTCGAGTCTGCAGGGTCTCTGACTGCTGATGTTTGCCAAGTAGTATCTGGCAGTGAGGAGGGAGGACCAGCGTGGCCGATCAGTCAGAGTTGCTGTGTGTGGTCTGTACCTCTTGGTGCCCAACATTTAGGACACGGTGAACTTGCCATTGTATCTTCACTGTTTGGACAGAGCTCTGAGCACGGGGAGAGAGACAGAAGCTATTTGTGACACAGGGCTTCCCATGACTGATCAAGAATACAGTAGGCCTTGCCATAGTTAAAAGGCTTTTGGGTAGGGAACTGTTATGAAAAAAAGCAAGGTCTGCTGCTGCCGATAAGAAGCATCAGTATTAAAATTGCCAGAGATATATGCTCCATGAACTGTATTCCCTTATCCTGATGTAGTTTCTGAGGAAATAAATTGTGGTAGCAGGGAAATCCTCATGCACTAGGGCCTTCCCTGTTAGACTATGTAATTATACAGGTCAGTATTATCTGCCCAAAAAGTGAAACTTTACCATAACATCTTATCCCCCTTCAGTTTCCCAGTAGTTGGAAATACGTGGAAAGAGGAGCAATGGGAGCTGGGCTTTCCTCTTCAATCATGGGTGCTCTCTTTTAGTTCTTTATCCTTGTCCCTGATTGATAGGTCTCAGAAATGAAGAGGGGGTATGACTTGGAGGGACGCAGGGAGCAGAGGATGAGGTCACCTGTGACTGCTGGCTCCTGCAGTATTTTTTTTTCTTTCTTTTTTTTTTTCTTCCACCAGAATCCCCTGTTTGGTGGGTGGTGGCTCATTGCAGCAGCTCCCAATAGTGGTATTCTTGCTCCCCCTTCTCTTCCATGGCTGTTTGTTGTTCCTGAAAACATAGTTTTCCTCTAAGCAGCATGCTGGATGGCTCTGTGACTTTCAGGGGGCAATCCAGGAAGATACATACTTTCCTCACTTCTCCCTGAGCGAACCAGTGCTTTAGTCAGTGCAGAGCTCACAGCCTGAAAGAAGCTTCCAGTCAGATGCTGTGTTAAATAGATGACGAGAAATAAATGCAGAGTACATCCTTTCAGCTGTACTCACATTGGGAAACAGGAATGTGGGTACCTGTAAATTTGCAGGCTTTAAGAGGGTATGGTGTTAGCTACTTTAAGGCAGAGGGAATACTTTATCTGTGTATCATTTATCCATGTGTGTGTTTGGCTCTTAAAAAAACCAAATACTTTGAACCGCAAAGATGTTTCTGGTAGCATGTATTTGATGCTATCATGAAAATGATGTGATAGAAGCTTTCTATGTTTTTCATTTCCTGTTTCTGATCTATGATGTTAGTTTCAAAGCAGTTACCACATTTTTTGACTTTGTGTTTCTGGAATTCTGTGGTCCCTCTGCTTGCTGCAGATTTTTTTAAATTATTCTTTCTTTCTTTCTCGTCTAATAGCCTCCCCCATAAACCTAAGAGGCGCAAAGTATATTTTATTTGGATGTTTGCATGCATCCATGCGTTTAGACACTGCGCTTCCTATCACCCTCAAGCAAAAATATTACTGATTTCCAAGTGACCAGAAAGAGGTCAGTAAATCAGCACTGTGGATTTTGTATTACAGAGAGTTGTCCTTCATTTGCTCTTGTTTTAGCTTTATAATAGTGTTACCAGGCTCTCATCCTCATCAGAAACTCCAGCAGGCTAGAAACCTACTATGCAGAATCCATTAGAGATGTGGCGTTAGTGGGGTTTTTCCCTGATCGTAGTTTTTCACTGATCACAGCTCAAAATAATTATTCGAAATAGTGTGTCTTTCACTGGTAGGTTTTTTTGAACACTGAGGAAATAAAAAATCACTGCATTAGCCAAATGTTATCTTGTAATCTTTGGAGGCTGAATAACTACATATTTAGACATTGTTTTGAGATGATTATTTTTTTTTAATGCTGCTTCTGAATTGCCTTCTCTTCCCTTCCTTCTCACCTCTTCCCCACAGACCTTGGTTTCTGAGGGATGGAGACAGCACCTGTTTGCAAGGTTTCCCTCCTCTGAAAAGGAAAACTTCCCTTTTAGTTAGTAGCTCTTTGCTTCTGCTTTGTTGTATGTTGAGTGCCAATAGGCGCTAGCTGACTGGAGGAGGCATTTTATCGTATGCAGTCTGTTGAAGTTTGTTTCCACTTGGGCGTTGAAGAGGATGCATAAGATATCATTTCTGCTTTGAAACCCTTCCATGTTGGCAGAGTGGTATATGAAGACCTCTGTTTTAGCAATGACCAACAGAAATTTGATGGAAGTTTTGAGATCTAAAAGCTGTTGGTGACCAAGTCACTACTGCTTTGCTAGTATTAAGTCTGTTTTGATAAGGCTGTGGTGTTACCCTGTGTCGTTAAAGATTAAATGGCAAGTTCTGAAGGAACAGCCAGGTAAGCAGCCACACGAATCACCCTTTATCACTCTCCCGGTTGAGTGACTTTATTCTGTCTGTGAGCGCTCCATCCTTTTATCCACTTGGATGTTAGGAAGATTATACATTCACCTGAGTTAGTGTGAGGTTGCCATAGTCATAATCAGTGGTGATTATTAGTGCTAGGTACAGAGTTAAAACGAGCTTGCTAATGACAATCTCAAACAATATTTTATAGTACTGCAGGAATGTTGTAACCAAGGGAACTATTTAGTGTACAGTTGTTTTGGAAAATAACCTGCTGGCGTCAGGGTTTTTGATAGGTGTTTTATAGCATGACTTATGAACTTACTATGTTTAAAAAAGATCGGAATTATGGTGGTGATAATTTAGTTGTTGTTGTTGTGAATAGTCTTCTGGACGTGACACCATCTGTCTTTAAGTGAAGTTTTTATGGAAAGCTTTTATTTAACCCCTTTGTTTATTATAGGTGATGTTCTTTGTAAGCTACTTTGGTGTTTTTTCTTTGTAATCTTGCTTAGTCTGATTTTGACTAATACGGCTTGCAGTTTACAGATGCACTGTATTTTTGCTTTTGCAGTGATATAGTCATTATTTATTGCTATGTAACATTTCTCAAATTATTACTTTGAAGCATAAACTTTTTACTGTTACCACTTTCAGACAATTATTTGAATAAGTATATTATCTTTTGAATACTTTGGAATGGCATTCTTTGGAGTTCACTGACACTAGTGCTGTCACTAAATATTGTAAGTGTGTAAGTGTTTTCAGGATTTGATCCTCAAAAATAGAATTTGAGAAACGGGAAAAATCCTCCGGTATTTCAACAGATACCAAAGTACTGTTGCATTTGATATATTATTGATGTGCCTTAGCGGTGATCAACTGTGTGTTTATTTATATGTAGATTGTATATTTATAAATTAGATAGTGTTTCCTTAGTGTGACAAACTGTTTCCTGGTAATGTTACTATACTCAATGCAGGGGTTTTTTGGTCTCCATTTAAGTCTTATTAGGCCTTATCTGTGTCTCTTCTCCCCCTCCGCCAACTTAATGTGTGCTAGAGCAACATTAGCTAATCTGTCAGACTGAGCTTTAATTGACATTGTCAAGGGTAAATCCCCTGAAGAACAATTTGTGCTACAGCAGCCTGATAACCCTTAGTCCATATGATCAACTCAACTTCATTAACAATCCCCTTTTTCCAGAATTACAGGGTTTGGGGAGTAGGTGTAGCTGAAAATAAAAAGAATATAAGGGTAGAACAGAAAGTGCTGTTGTTTCCTCAGATTATTGGTGGATTTTTAGAAAACAAAGACTTGTAGGTAAGTCAGTGTGGCTTCTTAAAGGATCGCCTATGGTGGTAGGCTAAACTTCTGCGTGCTTTCTTCAGTCTAACAAAACGCCTGGTTCCACCTTAATGATTAATCATCTTATCTAGTCTAAGTAAATATTTTTGAGTGATACTGAGGCCACTCTGGCATGGTCTGGGTATTATAAGAATCACTTATTATTTTGCATATATTTTGTATTTACTTTGCTATCTCATACCATAGAACCCAGATCTTATCAACTTAGTATGACATAGTATCTTTATGTTGAATGGTGTTACTAACAGTATTGGAGTTGTTTATTCATGGAGTAACTCTTCTGCATGTAATACAATGACTAGGTAACATGATAGAATTCTAATTATGTATCCAAGAACATCTCTGTTTTCACTTCTTCCTTGATTACTTTCTTTAAAAACTCAAGACATTCCTGTTCGGAGAAGAAACGTTTAACATTTTAGTGGTTTGTTCTGCCACTGACAAAAGCAAATACTCATTTTAAAAGAGAAACATTCGTATTTTCAGTTTAACTTGGAGCTTTGATTATTTTTTGAGGGGGGTTTTTTCTTAGCTTTTGACATATTTACCCAGAAGTTGACATGAGTAGTGTTAAGATGAAAGCTTATGCAAACCTAAACTCTTAAAAGGATGTTTTCCTCCTGATAGTATTGCCAATATGATTAATGTTTTATTTTATTTCCTCACAGTTTTATGTGCTGAAAGAGTGGGCCAGATGACTAAAACATACAATGACATAGATGCTGTTACACGTCTTCTTGAAGAGGCAAGTATCACATCTCTTTAAGGACCCATACAGTATGAGAAAGTAGTACAGAAATTGTATGGTACCACTGCTAAAGACTGTTGGTAGACTGTCCTCCAGTGAGGAGGAATAAGTGCTCTGAGTGTATGTACACTTTATCTCATTGGTAAGGTAAATATTCTTTCTAAGTAAAGGTCATTTGTTTGCCTGAGTCATATGGATTCATTGTGTGTGCTTATTTTTCAGTTGAGGCCATCTAACTTGCTCTTGGCCAAATATCTGCCATAACAAATGAGGAGGAGGAGGGGGCGGAAATAATCTTAAAATGACACGCACTTTTATAGTACATGTAAAGCTAATAGTATCATTGTTGATGGATTTATTCTCTTTTAAAATTAAAAAAAAAAAGTTCACAAATAGTCTTGTATTCATAATTATTATCTCAGATAATATCTTTCCAGAGAAGTGCATAGACACAAAATTAGAAAATACCTAATACTCCATTTGTCGCTAATGGCTGGTTTGGGTTTGGGGTTTTTTTTATACCAGTATTGTGTAAACTGTTATTACTGTGACCCTTGGCGCTCAAGAAGTGGCAAAAAGCAACTGTCAAGCTACGATGCTTATGTTCAATAAATATAATGATAAATTGTCTGACTGAAACTAGCTGCTTTTCTGCAGTAAACTTGAGTAATGGTTTTCCAAATAATGTTTATGAGGAGTTCTTTAGGAGAAAACTGTTACAATTGTATTAGTTCACGGCTGAGTGTAATTTAATCCTTAATATTTATTTGCTTGCTTATTGCAATAGCGATGTCAAAAATGGGGTCTGTCTAGCCAAGATACATTGAGTGGTCTGTTCTTCCTCTAATTCTGCAAGGAAACCAACGTGGGATTGCTCACATCTCCCACCTGTGCCTGATACACCTGATCACAGTACAAAGTCCTGCATTTTGTGCTTTGAGCTGAACTTGTTTAAAGAATGCTCTATGAAATATCAGTTAAAATTGATGCTTTACCTAAAAGACTTGTCCTGGTATAATCCATTAACTTGTAGCAACAGTCTGTTTGTTGCCTGTTTGTCTCCTGTTCCCTTTGTCTTATTTGGCTGAGGTTTACTTGCATTTGTTTCCATGGCTCCTTCTAGTGATAATGCAGCATTCTGCCAAACTGTTTCTTCTCCTGAGTCCATGTAGTCAAATGTCTGTAGATCAAGAAATCCACAGTCATGGGAGCAGTGCTAGAAGGATTTGCTGAGCCAGTGTCTTAAAGCTTCTGGTGTACTTCCCAATCAGGATGATAGCAAAGGAAAGAGGGGGGAGCATGTGATAGGTGAACCTTTAATAAAACAAATACTTTCAGTGAGCTTTTTCATTTTATTTGGCCACCATTCACTCTATTCCTAGGCAGACGTGCACTTACAGCTCCTTTCTCTGTTCTCCAAATGATGGTTACTACAAGAGATTATGTCCGTTTGCAGAACTTAAGGTGTAACTCCTCCTGCTACCTGCAAACACACGAGCAAGGAAAAAACCCCAGAGCTACCGTTTGTTTGTCCTTCTTGTTGGCAAGCTTCAAATGATTGTATTATGAAGTTGGCAGGGTGCAAGGCGCAGCATTTTGAGGGGGGAGATAGGAAAGATAAGTTCTCAAAACAACACATGTGCAGATATTTTGAAAATCTGAGCCCTGTTGCCCTGAAACTAAGCAAAGGGTATGACACCAGGCCTGCCTGGGTATGTGGCAAGAGTAGGAGCAGATTCCTCCATGAACCTGCTTTCCCATCCCTTTCTAATAATAGTGTAAATGTGTACTTTTTTTTTTACACATTGCTGTAATAAATCTGTTCCTTGTCACTGTGGGTAAGAGGCCTGACTACAAACTGAGATTTAGAGCTGAACTGCTAAAAATTGTTAAGGAAGTCTAAGGAGGTTAATTGAAGAGCCTGGAAATACACTTACATTCCTCAAATTTGAGGTTAGAAACCTTGCTGCTAGATAGCTCTTCCTCTGTAGAGTCAAAGCTGCAGGAATATATTTTTTTTTCACTTTGTATTTATAAAGTGAGTGAAATTACTGAACAATAAGTTGGCTTGATATGTAAACCAAACTTTTTTTGATAACTTTGTGGGAGCTATTGTTCTGAAAGGTTGTACATAAGATTATATAAAGATTTTATGGCTAGCTAATGCCAGTAGCTTTCAATGCAAATACAAACCTGACCTTCAGAAACCATTTGGAAAATGCTATTAGTAGATAACAGCAGTGATCAATAACCTCTCTTTTTATTTACTGATTATTACATAGCTTCCTTTTTTTCCACTATGAAAACCTCTTCATTCGAATTCATTGACTTCAGACTCGTGTGATCAATAGTTGTAGGTTTTGTAGGGTTTGTTATTAGTATACATATGACATAAGGTAGCTTTAGTCATAAAATCTGGATGGCTGTCAGGGGTGGTAAATAAGCCTCAAATTTTCAGTAACAGGGAGAAAGCTCTTCCTCAAATGGTGTTGAACTAAAGGTAAGTGGGAGTTAACATCATTTTCCCACTATTTTAAAGATCCTGAGTTGAATAAGAAAATTATAAATAGAAGTGCTTAAATAATGGCACAAAGTTTTATGCAGTTTATCATCCTCTCCCAGGCAGATTACAACCCCGTGTCTCAGCTTTGCAGAAGCTGAGACATGTATAGGTACATGTCATCAACAGGATAAGCTTCTAGTTTTTATTGGTACATGTGAACTGTCTAGACAGGTTATTTCCAATTCTGTGCTCATAGAGGAGGGGGAAGAAGGGGCCAAGCATGGCATGAGAGTAACTACTTAATGTAGATTTGGGCATCTGCAAAAAGAAAAGGGATAGGACTCGGTTTTATACAAAAGCACTGATGGATGTGTATACACAAAGAAGATGGGAGGTGAACATTCGTTGTGGTGGAACTGGCTTCTGCACAGCTTGCTGCCTTTTATTTCTGGGTGGAGCAAGTGGAAACTGAAAAATGCTTTGAAATGCCGAAGTTCTTTGTTATTTTTAGTGTGCTCCTGAGTTCTTTAAAATGTAACCTCTAAAGCTCTGTGTCTGCATTCTGCAGATTGTATAACAAGGTGATGGAATAGTTTCCCTCAGTAGTTTCTCAAACAAAGCTGTAACAGAGAACCAGATCTGGTTGGTTTACTGTAGACCTTTTGTTTTACTTATGTTGTTTTACTGTAGACCTTGAAGCTGTGCTTTCATGTGTATGGTTTGGTAACTCTGTATGGGTCAGTCTTTTCTGAATAATGTGGGTGTAACATAAGCAGGTATAGAAAAAGAAAATCGGCAAAAAACGAACCAAACAAACCCTCAGAGAATGAAAAATTATTTTTATTGTTCAAATACTTGTTCCTTCCCTTTCATGACAACTTTACTCTCCCTCTGATCCTTTGGTGAATAAAATATTTGAAATTAGCTTTCTTTTCTTAATGCTTCACAGAAAGAACGGGACTTAGAATTAGCTGCTCGGATTGGCCAGTCACTGTTAAAAAAGAATAAATCACTGACAGAAAGAAATGAGTTCCTGGAGGAGCAAGTAGAACACATCAGGGAAGAGGTAAGATTTTTATGCCTGAGTGCTGTATCTGCAGTGATGGGGAGAATTTTCCTTCTAGCTTCACTTTGCCCATACTTAATTTTCTGGGGCAGCAGGTCCATATCAGGTCAGTCTGTGTTGCACCAGTTTGGTCAGCCATTTTTATAGCATGTACGCTTTTAGAAGTGTGATCAAAAAAGTAATTTGACCTGTTGGTTCAAATCAGGTGATTTGAGGAAAAAAACAACCCTCAAGCCATTGAATTTTGCTCTGCCTCAGATCTCATTTTCCTCTGAAACTGGCTGCTCTTTTTGTTTTGAATCACTATACCACTGTTTTCTTCTGCCTATTTTGTCCTTGTTCCCCTGCTTTATGCATAATTCCCCTCTGTTTTGATTATCTCACTAATCACTCTTCTTCTCCTACCTCCCTTTGTGTGCAGCTCGCTCTCCTTGTTTCTTCCCTGAATCTTTCTCAGTCCTCACTTGTTTCTTCCTCAACAACTGATGCTTAATTGCTTTTCTATTCGTACCTGAGTTAAATTTTGGCTCTTAGAACATAATGTTTGAATGCTGGAAGTGCTTCCCTTTGCTTCTCAAACTGAATATGATATAGGTATCACATATAAGGTAAATCACTTTTTGTATTTGTGGAGGTTTCACTAGTGTGTGCTCACCAAAGTCATATGTATTCTACTTTTTCCAAGCTGGGCCAACTTCATACACTTGTGTCAAGTTTCCATTGTTCAGATGGGTTAGACTGTATTTTAATGACTGGTAATTTTTAGTCAAAGTATGTATGAAATTGTCAATGTTAGGAAGCATTGGGTTATATTGGGAGGCAAAGGGTTATAGGCTGAGAATTGCTACCCTCTATATAGATTGCTAAGATTTTACAGCTTCTCGTGATTTTGCTGTATCTCTTTCCAGTGAACTGTGATAGAATCCGTTGAAGCATGCTGCAGTACGTCCATTTGTCCGAGTTTGATGGCAGTAATATTTTTTTTAATGTTTGGTGAGCTCGTTTAGAATGTAATATGACGGTGCATATGTTTCTCAATTCATAGAATTGTAGAGTAGTTCAGGTTGGAAGGGACCTTTAGAGGTCATGTAGTCCAGCCCCCTGCAGGGAGCTGGGATGTCTTTAGCTGGATCAGATTGCTCAGAGCCCTGTCCAGCCTGACCTGAATGTTTCCAGGGATGAGGCATCTACCACCTCTCTGGGCATCCTGTGCCAGTGTTTCACCACCCTCACTGTAAAAAATCTCTTACTTATATCTAGTCTGAAACTACCCTCTTTTAGTTTAAAACCATTACCTCTTGTCCTATTGCAACAGGCCCTGTTAAAAAGTCTGTCTCCATCTTTCTTATAAACCTGCTTTGAGTATTGAAAGGCTGCTATAAAGCCTCCCTGGAGCCTTCTCTCCTCCAGGCTGAACAACCCCAACTCTCTCGGCCTTTCTTTGTAGGAGAGGTGCTCCAGCCCCCTGATCATTTTTTTGTCCCTTCTCTGGACCCTGTCCGACAGGTCTGTGTCTTTATTGTACTGAGGACCCCAGAGCTGGATGCTGAGCAGAGGGGCAGAACCACCTCCCGTGACCCGCTGGCCACACTTCTTTTGATGCAGCCCAGGATATGGGTGGCTTTCTAGGCTGCGAGTGCATATACTGGTGTGATCTATAAGATATACCAGAAGACTTAACATTGTTTCAAGTGACACCTTATGTCTTCAAGATACCATTGAATTTTAATCAAATATTTATACAGTTGCTATTTCTTACTGTATTTGGATGCTATAGTTACTGGCAGATTCTTGATAGATGTATCTTGGGTGGAACCACACAGGTTGCTTTAAAAGAGTTCTTTATCTGTTAACTACAAGTGTCACTGAACTCCAACTTACTGAGTTAGGTGCAAATGCTGTTTCTCCTTTTCTGGGACAGTGACCTTGGTTTGTGAGTCTCGTCCATATGTAGCTTTGAGCAAGAGAGAGAGAAATGATTATAGGGTAAGCAGGGGAGCAATGAACCACGGTGGATTAAAAACTTAAAGAAAGGCTCCTAATAAAACTGCTCAGGGGTATGAGGTATTGAATTATTTCTGAGATGGGCTGATGTATAAAGCATGGATGGAGGGATCCCAGATGTATGAGAAATGGTGGTGGAGCACACACATAGAAATAATATCCTTTGGTGTGGCCTAACCTATTTTGCAAGGAGAACTAGTTCTCTTCTGTCACAGAGAAGTGCTGTTGCCTGCGGCCTGAGTTCCATCATGTGGCAAGCTTATTTATTTGTGCGTTGGTCGATATGGCGTTTACTAGGCATGTACATGCTGACTGGGCAGGGCAGTGCCTTCACACCATACATCCAGAATGGAAGATTTGATTGAGGAAGGTGGAGGACAGGGATGGGCTGCCTCTGTCCAGGTCTATTTTTATTTAGAGGGACTCAGGAGCAGCATTAGGAAAAGTGCTAACAGAAATAAGCCTCTTACCAGGTGGCTTGATGTGTTAGGCCATATGTTCTGTCAACACCCATCTTTCACACTGTCATTTTGACTCCTTCAGAAATTGATGCTTTTGAGGCAGAGCTCATCAGGCTTTAAAGTCATGACACTGTTGAAAATCTGTCTTTAGTAAGTTTCAGATTTTCCATTAATGCTGAATTTTGAGTATTTGAACAGCATGTTAACTAAGACAGTTGTCTTTAAGGGCAAGAGATAAGAGAATTTATTTGGTACTTTATTTAAATTCTGTGAAACCTGCCTAAAAATGGTTTGTCTGGGAGATCGGTGGTTTCTGTAATATATAGACAAGTTCTTTCTGGTGTGTGGTATAAGGTTAAGGTTTTATTGGTATATGTATCATGGCACGAATAATTTAGCTTTACATCTCTTTCACCTACCAAACTTGTCCTGACAAAACCTTCTGGCCATTCCATTAAGTAGCTCAAGTTTTTCCTGCATCCATGTAACATGCCATGTTCATAGGTACATATCAAAGTAATACAGACCTCTGCAAAACGCATTAGATTCTTGGTTTTGTCTTTTGAATTTCAATTGTTAGGTGCTGCTTAGGTTTAGGAAGGGGCTGTGATCATGTTCAATAAAAACCGATGGAACTGAGATTTTTCCTGTAGTGCATGAGAAAATAAAAATTGGGTGCACTGAAGCAAGCCCTATTCTGCGTGCACAGACACTTTAGCCTCAGTTTACTGTTTCAGAAATATATACTAAAAGTGTAAACATTATTTTGATAAAACTTTCTTAATTGTAAATTGTTTCAGTTACACAGATGGCTGTCTGCCTTTTCAGCAGCAGAAGTGTAGTTCCCATGTACAGTGTGTCTACGTGCTGTTGTATTACCATGTTCAGTAAGAATGCTGCAGCTCCAGTCTCAAGATGTGTCCCTTTTTGCTGGGATTACCTACAGTTTAATGTTGTCTCCTTTGAAATTAGAGCTTATAGAATCACAGAATGGTAGGAGTTGGAAGGGTCCTCTGGAGATCATCTGGTCCAACCCCCCTGCCAAAGCAGGCTCACTTACAGCAGGTCACACAGGAACACGTCCAGATGGGTTTTGAATATCTCCAGAGAAGGAGGCTCCACAGCCCCCCTGGGCAGCCTGTTCCAGTGCTCTGTCACCCTCAAAGTAAAGAAGATTTTCCTCATGTTCAGGCAGAACTTCCTGTGTTCCAGTTTGTGCCCATTGCCCCTTGTACTGTTGCTGGGCGCCACTGAGAAGAGCCTGGCCCCATCCTCTTGGGCATCCGCCCTTTCAGACTTGGTATCAAAGCAATGTAAACTGTCACAATGTGAACTGTGTTTGGAATGGAGTAGGTTGTTAGGTTTTAGCTTCTCCTAATCTTTCTAAATTTCCCAGTTTATGCTTCTTTTTTCCTATTCAGATTTTGTGTTGTGTTTCTGAAGCTAAAAAGGCAGCGCTTCAAACACAGTGTTGGTTCTCAGATAACACCACCTCAAACCTATGGTAACATCTGAGTAATACAGCCCTCCAGTCCTGTTATTCTAGTTCCAGGTCACGTATTGGAGTTTGTGTTTTGGCGATAGCTGGTTTTAAAGTCCAGGTTTGCTTTTGTTTTGTGTAAAGTGAGAGGAAAGGAAAAGCTGAATTACAATCTGGAATGGTGGAAGGCCACCCTTTCTGGCTGCTCACCCTCCTTTGGAGAATTGAAATGCTTGGAGATGGCAGTAAAAATAGTGTCCTCAGTCTTTTTCAATTTATAGGGAAAAAAGTGTAGCAAAAGCTGGAGATGATCTAGTGCTCACCAACAGTGTCTGAATCCTTGTTTCTTAGAGGCTGAGCCATAACAATAAATTGATATTTTTGGCTCAGCTTTTTAGCTCTTCCTGAAACAAGGAGAGTGAACCTTCCAAAATTAATGTACAGATTTTGTTTCATGTTTTTCTAAAATGTGGTTGGTTGGCAGATTTTTTCCCTTGCCTTTTAGAACCCATTTCTCGGGAGGACTTGGTGCCTTAACACATCTGATTACACAGAATAGCCTTAGCAAAGTAAATGACCTTGTTTGCTTAAAATTCTGCACAGTTTAAGGGCTTTATTGCATTGAGTCTCCTTTTTGTTTGATGAAAATGCAGCTTAAATCTATTTTATTGATATTCTCTGGGGTTTTTGGACAGTAATAACTACAAATATAAATATGCCTGCAATACAAAAAGCAGAAGTCTAATAAGAACAAACGTGCTCTGCAATTTGTGCATTGGAAAGTGAAAACTGAGGGCCAAGTCTTGCAGTGCAAGTGAGCAGATCTGTCAGATCAGTTATGCTGTTTATAGCTGTGCAAGCCAATAGAAATGAACCTCTTGCCACCGAGGTCTTAAATTGCAGCTGTAAACTGGTATAAGTGCTACTGTGTAACCAGGCTTATAGCCCTTTTCTTGGAGAACTGCAATACAAATTAACCAAGATTAAGTTTGTGGAGCTCACAATTACAGAATATCTTAAGCACCCAATATTGATGTTTTGTTCCTTTTTGATCGTGTAGGTACTGAGTATGGGACTCCCACATACTACTTTAGTAGACTCATGTTTCAGTCATCAAAAGCCCAAACTACAGCCAGAAGCTGACTGCAGCCTCCACTGTTGCAGCAACCTCAGAAAGGCAGCATGCCACTGTGTGGTGGTGTTCTGCAGCTCAACAGGCAATTGAGTCCCAGATGTGACCTTACTACTCAAGCATTTTAGAAATTTTAACTAAAGTCACTTGGAGAGGAAGAAGTGTCTGTATCTGAGGTCTGCAAGGTCTGTATCCAAGCCAGAAGGTGACAGTCATCACGTAAAATAGATAAAAGTGATGTTTCACTTGATTGTGCCACAGTAGGTTCTTGCAGTGTCATTGCAATATATCAATTTCTGTGGATATGAATCTAGACTAATGCAATAATGAATCAGGATTGCTCATCTGAAAGAAGGTAAAAGAGAAACATGTCTAATAGCAGTGTCTAATTGCATTTTTGAACTTCTGAAAAAGAATATTTAATGGTTAGTTTAAAAGGTACAGTTTTCCTTCTTTCTAAGAAATAGAGGAACTGGTTCTGATCTGATCCAGTCTTGGCCTTTTGATTTAGTCTGAAGGTGATGCTTGGAGGACGAATAACTAGCTAATTTGTAGTGGTTTTACTTAAGAATGCGTCTAGAAAACAGACTTGCTGATCTTTCCTTGTGCAGGTTTCTCAGCTGAGGCATGAGCTCTCCATGAAAGATGAGCTGCTCCAGTTCTATACCAGTGCTGCTGAAGAAAGTGAGCCAGAGTCCATCTGTTCCACCCCGTGAGTTAATCAATCTACAACACTGAACATTCATCTAGTACTAACTAAGCATGGGTAGTTTGGACAATTCAATAGCTTTGAAAAGTAGTAAAATTATGCCTTTATCAACTGGAACTATAAATGGGACTCTGAACTTGGTGCATGGCACCAGCTGGAAGGATTTGCATTGGACCAGCTGTCTGTGTGGGTGCCAGTAAGAGTCAGGAGGGGAGAGTACATAGGGAGGCTGCTGACGCAGCGCTGTAACTTTCAGAGGAACTAGGTCACTGGTGGTGAGGCAGACACACGTCCCACTTATGGTACCCCACTACACCACATACCTTTACATGCTGTGCTGGAATGTGTGTGACCTTTGCCCTTCAAGGACCTGAAGGCACTATGGAAAAATTCCAAGCAGAAGGAAGGAAATAAAGGGTGGCTTATAGCATGGGTTCCAGGCAATTAGCTGGCTGAACAGCATCGCAGGCTCTGAGGGGCTGTCTGCCCTTGCTTGCAGAGTTATTGCTGCATTCTGGTGAAGCATGTGCAGCATTAACCAGGAAGCTATTGTGTTGCTCCCTGTAGCAAGGTGGTTTCCTTTCTCTTAGCCTTGGCTGCATAACTTTTCTATAGGAAATGTGTGGAATAATAAATAGATTTTTAAAATGTTCTCTTTTAAAAATCCTTGCAAATGTGTTGCTGTCCAAACATACTGGCATGAACAAGCTGTATTTCATGTTGCTCTGGCTAGGTTTGAGACCTTTGTTCAGTCTGTCTTAAAAATTAGTTAAAACTGTTGGTTTTTTTACAAGGCTGAAGAGGAATGAATCTTCCTCCTCTGTCCAGAACTACTTTCATTTGGATTCTCTTCAGAAGAAACTCAAGGACCTTGAAGAGGAGAATGTTGTACTTAGATCTGAGGTGAAATTGCTCCCTTTGTGTTTTGCTTAATACAGTTGTTCATTTAATGCCAGAACACAGGTATTGAGAAGTGTGTATTAAAAGTTGAGAGAATCTAATTAAGAGTATATAATTCCACATGTGACACAGATCTTTTTGTAGTTGTTTAATCACCATTCTTTATCCTTCTAAATGAAGGAAAGGCTGAAACATGGAAGCTACATGAAGCTATATGCAAAGCAGTTTCCTAGCCAAAAGCATATGCAGGAACATGGGCAGGTTTTGTAGTCCAGCATTGCACTTTGAAACAGGTCTTAAAGGGGCTGTCCTGGTAGATATGGGTGACTATAGCTGCAGATCTGAAGTTTGTAGGCTGGCATGGTCTCTCTGGTACAAATTCAGTGTTTGTCAAAATAAAAATTGCTAGCCTAAATTTGCATTAAATATATTCAATTTGTATTTCAAGTCAGACTGTTAAGTTGAATGTGTTTTTCTTGTCCTTTATTTCTGATAATATTCCATGTTTCACAAATGACACAGGTTTTAAAAGTTTATTTACTGTTCCCTGTCTGTCAGAAATAATACTTCATAATTTAATAGCCTATGAATGATTTTATATTTCAGTGCAACTTTTAAACTTTGGGGGCATGTTACCGTTTTGTGAACACGAAGCAGAGTATAGCAGAAGAAATACTTTGAGCTAAGAATGAATGTATGAATACAGAGTATCGTTACCACTTTCTACTGCAAATGCAGGGCCCATTGCAAATAGGTAGCGTCACCTCTTTGGAGAAGACACCACATAATGGAGAGTGCTGTACACTTCATTGAGAAGTCACGCAAGGAAGATGAGCCATAGATGGTTTGAGAATAATGAAGGTGGGATTAGAACTGAGAGCGCCACTGCGTCAGGAGCTGATAGGAGAACCCCACGTAGCACTGTCTTCCCTTCCAGGGAGATGCAGTCTGTGACAGCAAGGCACAGGATGGAGCCAAACTTGAAACCTAAGAGCTATGCAGTTCTCTACAGATGCAGTCTGTGGGTGTCTGTGCATGCCCCCAGCATTTGGAATAGGTTACAGACCCACTGAGGTGGTGCCAGACAGAACCAGCTGGGTGTAGCCACGCTCCTCTTGGCACTTGTAGTATCGGAGCGGAAAAGACAAAGCAAGGAAGGAGGTAGCACTAAGGTTTTATGTGGGATATATGGTTACAGTGCCAGAACTTTTCAAACACTATCTGAATGTTTTTTATATACTTGGATGTTTAATTTAGTTATTTAAACCAAGCATTTAACCAGTTTGTGATGATGTATAGCTTCGTTCAGGTGATCAGATCAAGCTCTGCATACTAGTCTTTGTATGTTCAGGGCTCTTTTTTTATTTTTAGTACAAGATACACAAGTGACATCTAGTGGGGATATGGTGATAATGATGCAAGTTTCTCTGTACAGTAATGTCTCTGCTGAATGTTCACCTGGCCCCTTTTTTCCAGAACATGAAGGAGGGCAGGCAAAAACTGTAGTTTCTCACTGTCTTCCTGGAGGAGTGGTTAGAAAAGCTTGTCTCTCTGAAGCAGATGGAAATGCAGCAAAAGACTGGGCAAAGAGCAAATGTGCTAATGTAGCATATTTGATGTGGATTTCTTGAATAGGCCTGTCAGCTGAAGACTGAAACAATTACTTACGAAGAGAAGGAACAACAGCTTGTCAACGACTGTGTAAAAGAGCTAAGTATGTCCCTATTTCTTTTCACTTCTCATTCGAGATAGTTCAGTTAAAAGAAAACAAACAAACAAACAAAAAACCAGCTGAGCTAGATCAATCAGTCATGCTCTTCTGTGGTACTTATTTTCCTTATATAAATGGTGAGGAGAAGATTTCTGGGTGAAATTTCACAGCAGAAAATTCTGGCTGTAAGCTAAATCTTTCTCAGTTGCAAAATAGTTTTGCATTGAAAATGTTAGTGTTAAGGGAAAGTATCATCTCCTTTGCAGCATGAGTACTTTGTGTCTTTCTGGTTTTGTGTCCTACTGTTGTTTTTCTAAAATACTTTGCTGTGTGTTGGGGCAGGAGTCTGCTGAATCAAGTGATGTTCCAAAAGAACATCCTCCTGCTTACTTTTCTGCTTTTGTGTTTGTGATGTTAATTGTAATCACTTGTCTTAAAGGGGATGCAAACATCCAGATTGCCAATATCTCCGAAGAGTTAGCAAAGAAAACTGAAGATGCTGCCCGACAGCAAGAAGAAATCACCCATCTGCTCTCTCAGATAGTCGATCTACAGAAAAAGGCAAAAGCTGTAAGGAATCCAGTTGCAAGACCACTGTTGCAATTTGCTACTATTGTAGCTGGAAGACAAGTTACAGTCTTCTGTATACTAGAGCCTAAAGGAAATTTTCCACCCTCCTTATCTGGGTGACCTTGTTTGATGTTTAATGTATAGTATACTTGACTAGAAAGCATCAGTTTATTAAAAGATGCATATAGATCAAATACAACAGTTAAATTTGTTTTAAATATTAGGTGTGAAATTCTTCACTGAACTTTAAGACTACAATAAGACAAGAATGTCAGTGCAAGTATTTCAGTGAGCACATACTCGTTTGCCCTGCTAAATGAACCTCCAAGACCCTAAAACAAAGACTGATGCTGGGTGTTCTTGTGTTAACATTTTAAATGTTAAACTAACATGCGTGGACTGATACTGCTGCAGAGGGGGTTTTGGGAAAAGGTAGAATTTTCCTACTTACCTGTATTGTAGGATACAAACATCATCATAGGATGAAACATCACAGTATTTCTAACATTTTTTGGCATATTTTAGTGTGCAGTTGAAAATGAGGAACTTGTGCAGCATTTGGGAGCAGCTAAAGATGCCCAGAGACAGCTTACAGCAGAGGTGAGTACATTACTTAGTATTAAAATAATTTAATAGTAGGACAATGGCTCTTCTCTTTACCATGAATGTTTTAGTCTAAGCTGGATCAGAAGTATTAAATAATTTTCCCTATGTATATGGAATGAAGGAACATATATGTTCCTGATAGAGTTCAAAACCTTTTCCTTCCTCTTCTCTCCTCCAACTGGCACACCTTTTGAAAAACTGAGGGTTATGGGCTATTTAGGAACCCCTTTACAGCTTGACTTCTGTAGGCTGGTAGTTTAAGTCTATTTTCAATAATGAGGTAACATGGAAGAGCTCATTCGTACTGTTATTTGTTCAGTGAATAAAATAAACTAAAAGCAGTCCAGGATTGCTGGCTGTCTTCTGTGTGCTATGTTCACATGAACAAAATGGACAAAATAGAATTAATAAAGCTTGATTCCCTTAGGATGTGTCTTGTACTTGGACTACTTGGTGTTGAATGCGCATAGTCTGATGGGCATTTTGTATGTGTGGTGCTTCACAGATATTGAGCTCATGCTTCTCCATCCCTGTCTTAGGAAAGACATTAACAAGATCTCTGTTTCTAAGCCAAGTAGCTTACTTTTATGAAACTTGTAGGAATGTGGTATTTCAGACTTCTGCCCCTTTACCAAACTTGGTTGAAGTGGCTGATGAACTCAAAAACTATGAGGGTCACAGACATCTGCAGACAGAGTGATTACATAAGATATATTTCCTGAGGAAGCCAAGATGAAAATCAGTCATAGTCTTGGGCTGTTCACGGTTATATGTGTATATGTGTATGTATCTTGAGTCTTGGTTTTAAAATTCTTAAGTCCTTTGGAACACTGTGAAATGTCTTGTCATTTTCCCATGCTGTTTGCCACTGTTGTCATCATGGCAGTAATCAGGCATTTACCTGATCGGACTAAAGATGCTTTTAGCTCTGTATCTTCTCCTTGAAAGTGGCTTCATGTAGGTACGTAGGGTAGGAAATGGAGCAAGCAGTTCCTTTCCACTTTGTGGCCTCCCCCTGCCTTCCCATTACTAATCCATGTTATTAATGATTTTCAGTTATATTCACTTGTTGGAGTTCACTGCCTTCAAGGTGGTATATTCTTCCCTACATCATTACCCTTTACCAGTGTTAAAAGAATTTGCAGGCTTTTTGTGATGATAGTGCAGCGCCTAAGCTCTTGGACTGATTTTTTATGTGTTACAGTTGCGAGAGCTGGAAGACAAGTATGCAGAGTGCATGGAAATGCTTCATGAGGCTCAAGAAGAGCTGAAAAACCTTAGGAACAAGACTATGCCAAATGCCATATCACGTCGGTACCACTCTCTTGGTCTCTTCCCTATGGTAAGCAGATTTAAGAAGAAAACTCTGCATACACGAGAAAACAACCAACCAAAGGAAATGTGTTTGCATCTGACTTACAGCTTCCGGGATAGGATGCTAGGCCAGGCGAGCATGGGTGAAATGTGTATTTATGTACTGTTAAAGGATAACCTGAGTGAACAATTTTGCATACCTGGTTCTGAAACAGTGGTGCTGTGCAGTTACTTGGTTTTGCTGCAGTATTATATACTACCTGCAGTTAGCTGTGCTTATGCTGTGAATCTTTGGTAGCGTTAATAATTTGTTACACAGTTCTATACCTCTTTGTTATGCATCCCCTGTACTGTGGTGACTGATTTTCAGTAGGAGCTTCCTGTTTTTCTCCAATATCCTTGGAGATGTAACTTCCTGATAACATAACTAATGGTTTCTGGACATGGCATCCTTCTAGTCACTTATAATACACATTCTTATTCTTCAGTACTTGAATAGTTTGTGTATATTCTTGTTTTAGGGTCACTGAAAATTCAGTAGTACATTGAAATAATATCTGTTGCAAATATGGCAACATGAGTTATGGCAGTGTCATCAGTGCTAGCAACTTTGTTTACCTAGTGTCATTTGATTGTGACATTCTACTTTTAAAGCATGGGGAATATGCAGTACCCTCAAACAAATGAGAAAAAAAGAGTGGATAAGAATTTCTAGGTAAGTTCAGTGCCTGACTCTGCTAGCCTGTGTATCTCTAGAATAATTCCGTTACTTCTGAGGGCAACGATACCAGTGAAGTTTCTTTTGAGTTACAGTAATGTATTCAAGCAGCAGAATCTGGCCCTCTTGTCTTTAGCCATGTCTCATCTTAACTGCTGAGGAAGAACATTGATTATATTTGTGCTGACAAGAAGTAAATTGCAACAAAGGCTTAGCTTGCCTTTTTGTGTTCTGTTCTGAGACTGAACACAGGCCAATTTAAAGTGCAGGCATTTAATAATAATATGAGTTGTACTTGCACAAATACAGTGGAAAGCTGTGAAAAGTATGCTTGTGCTGAGGTAGGTGTGTTTTTCGTATAAAAATTATTTTCAAATGTTAAATCATGGAACCAAAGAACATTTAGATTTGTGAATGTTTGACACTTAGACCCTGCACTTTACATTTAGGCAGTAAAACATACTGACCAGCAGTGGAAAACTCATTGCCTGTCACCTTTAACCCTATGGGGGAAGTATATAATGCTTTATGCCAAGAGCTGTGTCTTTTTTGTGGGTGGGTGAGTAATGTGAAAAGGAAGAGTGTTTTCTGTTTATTTTAAATGAAAACAAATTAATTAAAACTTTATACATGAAAGGTGGGTGTTACTGAGTAGGGAATTTGGTCTGGGAAATTGGGGCATCTGAATTCTGTTGTTGCCTGTGATGTTTTTTTAGGATCTGACAGATGTTATATGTCTTCAGATGGTAAGTACTGTAGCAGTATGAAGCTAAGCCATAATTTGTCAGTGACTTAGATATATTCATTAGTCTTCCAGCTTTCCAGACAATTTTAAGTTTTAAACCTTTCTTTTTTCTGGAAAGAAACGTTATTAGTTATTAATTATTTTATATAAGTAATCAATTATTTTCTGCAATAACAACCTATTAATACTATGATATTTGTTTTGTGCTTATTTTTAACAGGATTCTTTGGCAGCGGAGATAGAAGGGTCAATGAGGAAAGAGCTGCATTTAGATGAACCTGACTCTCCTGACTTGGCGTACGACTGAAAAGAATTGGTTCTTAATTGATTGATTATATATGAAGTTAATTATTATTTGATGAGAAAGGAAAAGGCAGGAAATAATTGAGCTAGGGGTTTAGAAGGAAATATTTCTGACAGAGTATGAATGATAGAAAGGAAAATAAATTTTCTGATTATTGGGGTGGTTGTATTTTCTACTAAAGCTGCCAAAAGAAAACACCTATATATATAGGTTTTGCCTTGTCTTATGAGCTTTTTGACTTGTTCTTGAGTGCTGAGAATGAGAAAAGGTTTGTTTTCTTGTGTGTTACCATGCTAGGTTTCTTCAGTTAATGATTAGGGGATGAATTCAATTCCTCGGGCTCTCTCTTCAGAGAGAGAACAAAAGTTAGCAGGTAGTTATTGATCTAATCCAGTATTTACAGGGAGAACGTCAGTGCAGAAAGGGGTTCAGAGTGGTTGCGTACTTACAGTGCTAAAGTTCTCTTGAATTAAACAAAAGAATGGTTTGAAACAAGTTAAGTGCTTGTGACAGTCCAAAAGCTATAGATAGATACAGCTTGGCAGAAATGGCCTTACTGGCACCAGTTGCACGTCCAATAGATGTATCTCGCCTATTTGTACAAAGCATGGACTGGTTAATTTGAAACAAGGTAATTGTACTTAGAGGGTCTGTTAGAGAAACAGAACTTACTAAGAAAGGACAGTCAGGGAAGGTACAGTAGCCAATTGCAGAAACCTTCTAAGTATATTTACATTTACAAAAAGCTTGACACGTACTTCAGCCTTCTCTGAGCGTGACCTAAGAATTTTAAGTAAGGCTTTGACAGAGTGAAATGTTGATTAGAAAAATGTAAGATCAGAAAGATGTGAGCATGCTCAAACCCTATAGGATCCTTTTGTCCTTGCAAGGTAATCTAACTTAAGGATAGTTTAACTTCTATAGAATATCTTTTATATTGCTATGCATGTACTAAAGAAGGATACTTTTTGTTTGTTTGTTTCATGGCTTGTCTTGTTTTTATTTATTTGCTCAGCAGTAGTAACTGTAACATCTGTGAGGCCATTTATTGATAGATATTCTTAGATTCAGCTTCTTAAAGATATACAACTATAGACTTGGAGCCTACACTCCAAAGATTGCAACTGCTGAGCACTCGTGGATAGAAGGAAAGAAATTTGAATTACATTAAATAGTGTACGGCATGCTGTGTTATATCCTGGCGGTGTTACCTTTAAGCTGAAAGGGGTGTACTGTTTTTGTGTTCAGCCATTGTTGAACTGTAATACAAAGCAGCGATGATACTTCTGTAGCATGATGTAGGGCAAGTTTATTTTGTGAAGAAATTTCTGCTGAAGTGTCATCTGATCTTAGTCTTGAAGCAGATGAACAACGTATGTTATGAAATCAGGACAGTGGTGATAGGAATGAACTCTAGAAGTAGGTAAAAAAAAACAGGTTTCCAATCTTGGCGGCCACTCTCTAGACTTTTGGTCCATTATATTTCTGATTTTTTAAATTTTTTTCTAAATGCTATTTAAGGGAGTTGGAAATTGGTTCCAAAAATGAAAGGTCCAAGACTTGCTTGCATACTGATACTCAGTAGAGTAAATTCAAATTCTCTTTTAAAATGGATTAGCCAGTTCATAGTTTTTTATTTTTGTTTCTTAAAAACCCATTTCCACACAATGGCTTTAAAGTGTTTTTAGCTGGTATACTGAAATGCTATTTCACTTAATTTTTATTAATGTTTGAGTGAGTCTATGCATGCACATAATTCATAGATGTTGTGCCTAAAATATTCTAGGGTGGTGGAGGTATTGTGTTGATGGATTGAATGTAACAGCCAGACTGTAATGAGTACGGGCCCCTATGCATACTACTTTTCAGAAACTATTAAGACAAGGTGGTTGATGGAGCTGTGAACAGGAAGGGTTGTTAACAAGCTGTTAGCTTTTTCTCTGTTCCTTCTTAAGGTAAGAAAGCATCGTGTGATTATTAACTGTGTGTATGTCTTACCAGTCATCAGAAGCGGGTCTTCGAGACAGTGAGAAATGTTAACCAAGTTGTCAAGCAGAGATCCATGACTCCGTCGCCAATGAATATCCCAGGCTCTAACCAGTCCTCTGCTATGAACTCAGTCATTTCTAGCTGTGTCAGCACTCCACGTTCGAGTTTCTATGGGGGAGACATCTCTAACATCATGATAGACAACAAGACCAATAGTATCATCTTAGAGACTGAATCCTCTGACAATGGGTCAGTACTGTAGCACTGGACTTTGCTCTTGCTTTGTTTCTGACATAAAGGCAAAGTGTTTCTATTTTCCCCTTTTTGATTTGCATTGCGCAGTTAGCACAGTGACATACACCTTCAAAAGTTACTCCATTTTGTGCTAATAGTTCTTGAGCTCTCAAGTTTATTTAAAAAGGAAAGCTTTTTGAAAATACTGTGTATCAGTGTCTGCAACTCATGCCTGTTCTGAGACACAGCATCACCAGGTGATGTAACACCACCCTTTATCTTTGCAACTGAGTCAATACTTAAAACAATTATATTTTCAACATTTTACATTCATGCCAGGAAGTTCTGATCTACGTTGCAGCTACAACTAACTCTTTTGATCCTAAAAATAAATAAATAAAGTAGGTGTGTGTAGGTTACCTAATATGAAAACTTGTGACTGAAACTAATCAGAACTTTGCACTTCTATCTACTTGTCTTTTCTCCCAGTACAGCTCCACAGTATGCTGTGTATACTTTCCAGTAAAAATGACATAATATCTCAAAACAATTAATACCTGTCAGCATAATATACTCTTGTGACTCATTGTGGTATTCTTGTAGCATTGGCCATGTAAGATGTGGCTTGTTTACTTGAGTTTGTATAACCATAAGAGAGACGCAATAGGTAGACATCTCTTTTTTGTAGGGGGAAGCTCTTAAGTGCAGCTTTTCCAACCAGGAGTTTCCAGGCAGGAACTAGGATTCAAAACAGTTTTAGTATGAAAGAGAAAGAACATATTGGTGTTTGCCTCTGACCTCTCCAGATGAGTAGCAAGTCGATCCCGGACATAGTGATTTAAAGGTATTGGTGAATGTCTCAAACTGTCATGTGGAAGTTTTAAGCATCTCTAAGAATTTTTTCTCTCTTTTTTTTGGTGGGTGTGTGTCCGCTGTTATGTTTTAGAAATGAAGACAGGATGAAGAAGCCTGGAACTCCGGGGACTCCAGGCTCCAGTGACCTAGAGACTGCCCTTCGTAGGCTGTCCCTCAGGCGGGAGAATTACCTCTCGGAGCGGAAGTTCTTCGAAGAAGAGCAGGAAAGGAAATTGCGGGAACTGGCAGAAAAGGGTGAACTCCACAGTGGTTCCGTTACCCCGACAGAGAGCATCATGTCACTGGGAACTCACTCCAGATTTTCAGAATTTACTGGATATTCAGGAATGTCTATCAGCAGTCGCTCCTACCTGCCAGAAAAGCTTCAGATTGTGAAACCACTAGAAGGTGATAACAAAGGGCCTCGGCCTTTGTCTGTTGTTCTTAGTGACTCTTTGTGGTCTCTTATCCATCACCAGAAAGCAGGAAATCTTTGCAATACATATTCTTTTTACTTTAGAGACAGTAACCCACGCTGTTGGTTTGAAATCTTCTAACTACTACATTTTTCCACAAGCCTTAAAAGTGTTAGGAAGCAATTCCAGCCAAGGCAGTAAAATAAATGTTACAGGCCACACGTGCATCAGCAGTGCAGCTTTACACCTGACCTAAATCTCAATGTTTCTGTTTCATACCTGAAAAAGGAAGGTGACTAAGTATCTGAAACCTAAGCAGCAAAACTATTAGTTCATCAAATGTCAGTTCTGCGAATAAGTGTCTGGAAAGACCTTTATCTACTTCAGATAGTCCAGCTGGTCTAATAAGACTATTTTTGTGATTAAAAATGACCTCTGGACTTTAATTGGCTGTTTGAGTGGCCACACATGAGCCTCTATGGCTTTGGGTTTCATGTGTGAAATAGGTTTTTGGTTTTGTTTTGTTTTTTTTTTTTTAAAAGTCAAATTTCCTCCATATATTGTCTCAGAAAAAGGCAAGATATGGGTAGATGGTAGTCAGGGCTGGAGCTTTATTTCAAAGTCTGTTTCTGCAGTCTGTCTAACAAAGCTGACAGAGCACATATAGTATAGTCTGTCTGGCTTTCTTCAGATCTTTCAGGCTGTTGCTGGAAGTTAGTTGAGTAAATTCCTTCAGATTTTAACCAAAATGAAGCTGCTTTCCTATAGTACTTCACAGATACACTACATGATTTAGCTTTGGTCTCTCTTTTCCTTTAACAGAACTTGTTACATTACACTGTCTGTGTGTGTTTTAATTGCAAAAGTTCGTTTTTTCCACCTTTTTAGAACAGATCTATTTCATCTATAAGGAGTGTTTAGCATGACACCTATTCAGAAGCAAAAATTAACCCTTCTTGTATCCTGAAGAAAGTGATGTGCTGTATCTACTTATTCAAATGAAACTATAGCTGTAGCGCACAAGTCAATACTGTTTAGCAGATTTTAGTAGTTTGTTTTCATGACTGCTTTTAAATGGTCGTAAAAATTCTTGTACCACACGAGAAGGGATGATCCAGCTTTGTTTCAGTTACTGGTTGCTACCACTGTAATAGATTTCTGTCACCGTCCCGTTATCTGCTTTCTTCTTCCAATAAACTCTTTAAAGTCTTTATCATCTTTCTATCTGTCTGGGTTTTTTTTTTTCCTGGTTTTGTTCATTGTTCTCACTGGGTCATTTTTTTCCTTAAAATTATTGCATCTTTTAAAGTACTTCTCATGTTTGGTTTTAAATCTCATTTGTAGTGTGTTTGTGTCTGCCTGTTTCATAAGTTTAGTATTTGTTATCTTTTATTGAATACATGTTTATGATTCTGTTCCTCACTTCAGTGTAGTTTCTTTCCCGAGTATTTCTCATGAGATTTAATGGTTTGGTTTTTTTCTCAACTTCGTGGATACTTTCAGACTACTGGGGCAAAATAGTCTACTGTACCTGCAGACTGTTAACAGTAGTTGTACCTTTGGGTTTTATTACTGTTTTCCTAAGGGTGCTCATTCCATAAAATGGAAGAAATAAAAATTAGTTCTATAATAAATTTCAGGTTTCTACTCCTTTAAAGCAATCTTTAAAATCCCACGGTAAAATAAATGGGATGACAGGAGCACTAAAAAATTAATCTTCTTCTTTTGCACCTTTAAAAAAAAAAACATGCTTTCTTTCAGTTAAATGGTATGATTGCTTGAGGTGACTTGCTTTAGTTACAGTCTAGTGGATTGTTTGGTTTGGTTTGGTTTTAAACTGTGCATCTGTAGCTTGTTGTGACGTAAGCACAAAATAGCACTCCCTGTGTCCTGCAGGAAAACTAGAACCTTGGACTAATTATGTCTTCACTCACTTTGTTGCAATTGTGGCAGCAAGACACCGTGAATTTCTAAGCTTTCTCTGACCCCCATAGTATACATGCAATCATGCAGGTATCAGGAATAGAAAAACAAATTTCATTGACTCTATTCATATACTTATTTTGCCTTTTCATTTCTTCTTGCTTCAACTTGGCAGTCTCACTGTTGCATGCTAATTTGTTCATGCCAATTTTTCTGATAACATAGTTTACAAAACTGCCTTGTAGGAGCCTGGGATATAGGCTAAGGTGTTGTATTCCCCTCTTCATTTGCCTTTTGTTTTTTAATAATCTTAAGGCAGTTTACAACTGTTGTATTGCTTTCTGCATTTGTGTTAATTTTCTGTATAACAAAGTTAAAGCTCCCTTACACACATTTTAGGAGATCAAGATTGAACTCGGATATCCTCCTTTTTGTGGTGAAGCTTAGGCTATGATTTCCAGTTTCCAAAAGAAACTAATAACCTGTAGTGACATAGAAATGTTAAAGCTCAAAATGCAGGTATTCTGGTGAATATCTTACCATAGGAAAGATGTATTATCAATTAAATGCTTGTACTCTGCAGAGTTTTTCTGAGTATAATTTTTGGTGAGCTTTATGGTGAAAAGATTACATCAGAAGCTTGCATGTAGAAGTTAATCAGCAACAGGATTTTATACTACCACACAGTGCAGAAAAAAATTCTGATTTCTATTGTTCTTTAATTTTTGAGTATTGTCATACAGCAACGCTCTACTTCTTGCTTAAGACTTGAAAATGTCTGGCACTTCTCCACATTCTGGAATATTTCTTTTACATAGAAGCAAAAACTTGACCTTTGTGACAATTCAGAAATAAATTCGAGTTATAGGGATGTCTCTTCCTTACAGTTATTTATTTTGGGGTTGTAATGTTTTTTTGAGCCTCAAGGGTGCAAATCCTCTTTAGTCCCTCAAAACTTACTTTAAAAAAAAAGAAGAAGAAGAAAAAAAAAAAAGATAGGGTCATTATCCAAAGTAATCTAGCAGATCCATTTATTCTGATCTAAAAATTACATCTTTCAAAAAGTGAGATGGGCTTAAATTAGATGCTACTCACCGATACCAGTCATTGTAAAGAAAGACTTTCACCCTGTTCACTTCCTATTTACAATAAGCTTCCTGTAATGCAATATCCTTGTTGTGAAATGACAGTTTTCCTCATTCCATGGGATTTTTCTCAGATGTAAACTAATATGTATGAGCCATCCCTTCCTTAGCTATTACAGTGGGTTAGGTTTTTTCATATAGCATACATTGAATTGAACATGCTTGGTCTTTGAATACTGGTGAGACATTTGTATGCCAGCGTGTTGAATGAGTCACTGTTCTGCTTTGGGGAGAGGGGACAGGAACAAAACAACAGAAACTGCTCTGATTTGAACTGGCAGAGATGAAAATAAAGATGTTTTGTTTGCGTCATGGGACCTTGAATGTATAGTTTTAAGTCACACATTACAAAACAGTAGTGATTGGCAGGTTTGTGGGAAAATGTAGGCCCTTGTGAGCAGTGTTTCATCACTACTTGTGGAATCTGATAAATCCTTCCTGATTTCAGTGGGCCCCTCTCAGTGTGTATAACACTTTAACCTGATACATTACTGTTTCTGACTCATTGTCTCCTATTGAACGCTGAATGTTGAATGTTTTTCTCTGTAAAATGCACCTCTTTCCTCACTGAAAACATTTTTCTACCAAGGACGAAGCTACAGGTACAGTAGCATTTAGTTACGTAGTTGAATTCCTGTAGCACAGGGGCCATACAAGTATTTGACTTGATGTATAGGTCAGAGGTATTATCTGCTTACACGTGCCTGAAGTTGGTGTGGCTTTCTAATGTATGGTAGAAAGCTGAAATTGCTGTGCAATCTATATGACTACTGTCCTCCTATTAGCCACCAGTAGTAAATTCTGGCATGTTTTCAGCACCTTTCTTAGTCTGAGCTTAGTATGGGAATATGTGGTATATGTTCATCTTAGAGCTTTCTGTGATG